TTTCCAAAGCGATCTGGCCTTGCAGTCGATGTTGATAGTTGACCTGGATCAACCCATGATTTTGTGCATTTGGGATTCTCAAAATAAATCCACTTTTCATCGCCAGTCACAGTTCAATGCAAAAAAGACTCTTTCTTGCCATTGAAGCATCATTTTACTGATGACTTTTCAGTTTTCTATTTGTCTTTCATTCAGTTGATGTGGCACCCATTTTCCTTCCTTTAAAATCTTTCCCATTGCTTGTAAACGATTAGAAATTGTTTGCTGAGCAACGTTTAATCTTCCTGCAAGTTGTTTTTGAGTTTGACACGCATCTTCATCCAATAATGCTTGTAATTGTTGGTCTTCAAACTTTTTCGTTTGACCTGGACGTTCTTTGTCTTTCACATCAAAATCATAACTTTTAAAGCATTTAAACCAGCGTTCACAAGTATCTTGAGGTGGAGCATGTTCACCATAAGCTTCCCAAAGTATATAATTACTTTTTCTTCAAAATAAAGTAATGAATTAAAACTTCCAGCAAATGCTCTTTTTTTTTTGGAATAAAATTTGACATTTTTAAAGCGTCATTTGGCCTAAAGAGATGATCCACACTCCCAGACTATTTTTAGTAGTTAGTCTATGATGTTAACATCTATGATGTTAACACCTTCAGCAAATTTAACATACAAAGTTTTGAAGCTTGCTGTCAATACAACAAAATAGCATACATATCAAATCGTATATATATCAACATATGTGTAACTCCATCTATTGAAAAAAATCCACATTATTAACTAGTACACCTAGTACAGAAGCAAAGGAGCATGGAGTAGAAATGGAATGTGAGGTTTTCTCTGCTTACACACCTGCCTCAGAGTGGTAGATATAAGTATTCACTTCATCACCCATGCTGAGGACTTGTGGAAAGCTTACATGTCCATGCCTTCTAGCAGACATGTGGATAAATGACTGGTAGAGAAGAACAGATGCATAAATACACACATGATCGATTGGAAATAATTATCAAAAACATGGCATCTAACAATTTCAAGGATGATTTTATATATTTTATCTAATGTAAGTTCAGTCAGAAAAGACTTTTAACAGTAAAGCCAAATGCTGGGCTAGACCCTAAAGGACTGGCTAAGGTGTCCTTGGTAAGCAGGTAACAGCAGAGTGGTAAAAATGGGAAGGTCAAGTTTTAGCTTGGGGCTCCACATGAATAAAATCAAGAAGGTCTGGGAGCACAAATCAGTTTATTAAATTGGAGACTAAAATGAGAGAGGACATTTTGTTTTTACATCTATCAAGTAGAGATTAATTTATTGTATTCCATTATTGGAATTGACAACATAAAAATCAACAATGTCTTCATTTTGTTTAATTAGACTCTATTATCTGTCACTTTAAACCCTTCCCATCTGTTGAGATGAAGACTGTCACTTTTAAAAGGTGCTTCTGCTAAGAACAGTCTGGGAGTGTGGATCGTCTCTTTAGGACAAATGATGCGTACTCCTTTACTTTCACCCCTAGGCATATAAATTCTTAAAAATATATGATAAAGCCTGGAAACAACCCAGATGCCCACCATTAGGAAACTGGTTGAATAAATTATAACTGCAATACATTCTCTCAATGAGTACAATCCTATATAATAAAAGGCTAATATGCAAATTGTCCCCACGGGTGGGAGTTCAACCGACCGAGAGGTAGACATGTGCTGACCACCAGGGGGTGGCTCGGAACATAGTGGGCGTTGGTGATGGGGCGCTGGCAGCAGGCGGCAGTGGAGGCGCTGCTGGCCCTGATGGGCCCTGACGAGAAAGGGACCACAGTGGGATGGTGGAGCAGGTGAGCAAGTGGCGCCAGGCCAAGGTGGATGCAAGCAGGGGCCCCAATCACCCCACTGGATGCCTCACAGATCAGCCTTGATCACTGGCCAGGCCTAGGAACCCTACCCATGCAGGAAATCTTAAAAAGGAATGAGAAATATTGTTCTATACTACTGTGGAGTAATCTCCAAAATATACCACTAATTAAAGCAAACAAACAAACAAAAAGCCCTCAAGGTGGAGAAAAGTGTGTACAGTGAGGTACCCTTTATCTAAGAACAGAAGGATAAACCATAAAATTAAAATATCCTTGATGGCTCAAGGATAGAAGCCAGACTTTTAATACACCTTGGTTTTACATTTGACTTTTGGACCATGTAAATATTTCACATGCTTATAAAACAAAATCAATTTCAAAAAAATCTATGCTTAAAAATTAAAAATAAAATGAAACAAATCAACCCAACCAGGTATGCAGTTGGTGATGTAACTACATGGAGAATAACCTAAGCAAGCTAAAACAGTAATTTTATGGTTGCATTCCTTTTAAGATATACCCCCAAGGATACAAACAGCTAAAGAAAAAAAAAACAACACAAATGTAAACTCTTTTCTGGTAACCATATTATCGTAGGTGGTGTTGGTATTGTTAGCTGAGAATGCTGTGATTAATGGTGGATAAAATAAACAAGTAATTATGTGATACTCTAATCAGATTATCTGATGCATCCTAAGAACCACTATTCTCAGTGTGGAAAAGAGAAGCCACAGCTACACTCTGCCCTCTGAAAAGGCTGTAAGCAATAACCACCCCAGAGTCAGGAGTGCTCCTGGTGTCTCAATCAGTCATAAAAGTTTATTTCTGCTAAACGAAACAAATGCTTTTGAAACAGATAATTTTAGGTCTGCAGCATAAAATATGCCAGAAAAAGATGGGAAATTTTTTCTAACATCATGTCATGTGTCTAAATCCATGAGTTAAGATGCTATTTTTACAAGAAAATTAAAAGAAAACAACACTAATTAGTCACTAGTGAAAGATGCTAGGAAACAACAAACTGGTAAAGAAAAGGAAGCAACCGCTTTAAGAATGTCTTCCTTAAAAGATTTATTCCAATTAATAAATTTTAAAAAGAAGGTAGAACATCATCCTGGAACTGTTAATAAGCTAATAGAGCCAAGCATTGATCAGAAAGAGCCGCTATTTTACAAAAAGGGGAAGACAACCAGACATTGTGTGTCTCTTGATGTAGTCACACTTGAAATAGTTCCCACACAAAAAAAATGAACCTAAATATGACCAATCTAGAGACAACCAAATTACAAGAAACAGAAAAACTTGGAAATAAAATTAGTCAGAGGGGGCACTTCTCTATGACTTAATAACTACATTTCTTTAAGGAAGAAATTTCAAAGAAGAGAGAGGGAGGAGAAAAGAAAGAATAGGGGATAAGAGGGAATGTAATGAAAGAAGGGAGAGAGGAAGAAAGTGAAGGATAGAGAGACAGAGAGACAAAGGAGAGAGAAGGAAAGGGAGGGAGAGAGTTAAAAAGTCTTAAATGATATATCAACCGACTGCAATGCATAAACCTTATTTAAATCCTAATTCAAACGAACCGTAAAAACATTATGAAATTTGTGATACAATTTGAAATCTGAACAGAGTATTTGAAATCCAGAATTGTTAGCATTTTTAGATACAATAATGGTAATTTGGATATGTTCTAAAAACCCCTCTTTAGCATTTAGAAACAAATACTGAAATATTTATAGAAAACAAATATAATTCAGAGATGTGTTTCAAAATAATAGAAAATAGGAAACTGATTATGGGTATGGATAGGGCAGGACTAGCCAGGTGTTAATAAATGTCAGGGTAGGTGATGAGTATGCGGGGGTTCATCACACTATTCTTTTTAATGTTTGCATATGGAAAATTTTACAAAATAAATACTTAAAAAACTAAGGCATTCAGTAGCATTGTGAACACTCAGTACCTGCAGCTTGGTTTTGAAATACAATCTATCAATAAAAGAAACCAGTCCTCCTTGAAGAAATGGATTCTGTCAACTCTGAGGGGAGAAGACTACAGGGTGAGCCTGGGACATCTTGTACGAGAAAGAAAGTCATAAATGAATGATGAGGGCAGGTTAAAATGACATAGGAACCAGCTCAAAGGGCTCCTATTGGTCAAAGTTGGGTAAATTTGGACAGCAAAGAAAAGTAGTGATTAGTAGTGATTTATAAAACACTGAATAAAAACGGGAACCTTCAGCCCATAGTGATATTCAATAACAAAAAGAAAAACAGGAGATCAATTATTATAGTAGATTGCCAGCCAATCAATGTAGAATTGTCACAGAATTAGAAAATGAGTATTTCTCAAACACCAGTTTTGTTATTGTCTCAGGCAAGGATGACAAATGTATGGTGAGACCTCTGGGGGATAGCTTATCACTGACAAATAGAATGTTCACACAATCTCAAGGACCATAAATTAATATTGACTGCACATAGGCAAAGTTATATTCTATCCCCAATAAAGGAACCATCTAACACCATGCCCTTGTGATGATGCAATAGGAGGCATAAACATCATCGAAGCAGAAGTGTAGTCAAAAATGTTTAAACAGAATTTAGTCATTAAAAAAAAAAAACAGACAAAATCAGAAATCTGATTTGGACTCTTCAAAAATATTAAAACAAAAAACAGGTCACCTGATTTAGATTAAAGCACACGCACGCGCGCGCGCACACACACACACACACACACAAAATGGCACCAAGTGCAACATATAACCTTTGTTTGAATCCAGATGGGGTGAGGAAGGGAGAAACTATAAAGGAAAATGTGACAATTAGGAAAATTTGAATATAACCATACATCCTAGTACATATAATTCTGTTTTATCATTCAATTTCTTAAGTATTTTGAAATTGTGTTTTGTTAAGCTTTAAAAAAGTTAGTGTTTATCTTATCAGATAAACACAACCAATACCTAGGTAGATGCAGAAAGAGAGAAAGCCAAGGTTATAAAATGTTAACTGTTGAATGAATCTACATGAAGGCTGTTTGGGTATTTGCTATACCATTCTTGCAACTTTTCTATAGGCTTGAAATTTTCAAAATAAAAGGCTAATTAAAAACAAACTCTGTTTAGTGACATCTGAATAGTGCATACGTACAAGTAACGACACATCGTTGCATTTGCTCTTCTGGGTCCTATCCTTGGAGCTCTCTTTCTGATTGACAGCTTGCTCTGCAAATGACACCTCCAGGTTGATATCTGTTTCAGAGGCAGGTGCCTCCTCGGGCACCAGTGGCATCAGCTTCTTTTCACCAACAACTAGGCTAGATGCCTGGTCTGGGGGTAAAAACAAAAGACCCAAATCATATGCTTTATGTATTGATTGATTGATTTTTACTTCTAATACATTGACTATATAAAAACCTTTGGGAAAAGTACAATTTACTACAGGCAATAATTAATGGCTATTTTAATACTAAAAAGTATACTCAAGAATCCTACCAATGGTGTGTGTGTTGGGGGGGGGGGGGGGGGGGGGGTGGGGGGGGGGGGGTGTAAAAGGAGAAATGGGGTGGCCAAAAATTCACAGTTCAGTTGAGAAATCTTTCTTTGAAGGGCCAGTTTGTAGCCTGAGTTCACTTCCAAAACATTGCTGGACAATCTCAAATTCTGAATGAAAAACCTCACAAAAATTGAATGGACTTCATCATTGTTTTATTTAGGTTAGTTGTAATCTGTCTTAGAAGTAGCAAGATGCTATTTAATTTCCTCACAGTAGAACAGATTCCTGGAATAAGACCACTTCCACGCCCTGCATTTTTTCATTCTGGAATGTTATCTATCTATCATAGTAAAAATTTCAAAACAATAAATACTGCCAAAAGCTTATCACTGTGGGAGTCAGGCCTAGAGGCTCCTGGTACAGGAATCAATAGGTTTTTGCATCTGATTCTATGAAAGACTAAAAGGTCCTACAACTATAAACCTAGTCAAATAACTTTCAGACATTTACATCAACATTGCAAAGTATAATAAGCTTAACATTTTTGTTTGTTTGATGTTAATTCTACAGGGAAAAAAACATATTTTAAAGCCTCTGCTGAAAACACCAGCTTTAAACTTTGGAGAAAACATTTCTAAATTTTACTATTTTGTAAGTTTTTGGCTTTAATGCAACTCACATTTTAAAAACCCTAGAACCAATGACAGGATTGCTTTTATTTTCTCATTGTAGATTTTTAATTCATGGGGAGCAGAACTGAATTACAAAACAAACTTACACAGTACATTTACATATTACATACTAATATAACAAGGTGATAAAAGTTAAAGTTAATGTTAAAACATAATAAATATGTCATATGTACATTTTATTAAAAGTATTCTACCTTCAGAAAAATATATTTATAGTCTTTAAATTTTAAAAAAAAATTGTTTTACTCAAAAGAAAATGAAGAATAAATGTACATCTAGTCTGATTCACTCCCACTCAACAAGCTGGCTGGCTTCATGGTCATGTGACCTGAGCCCTCACACAGAAGGGCCCTGCGCTGGGATTGATGTTCTTGCTCTTAAAATTTGAACAAGAAGCCCTTCATTTTCAATTTGCACTGGGCCCCACAAATTATATACCTGGTCCAGGTGGCCTCTCACAGCTAAGAAAGTAACTAAACATTTACCTATATCAATTCCAAAAATAAGAATAAACGTGAAGCTCCATGATAGTATTTATCTGCTGTCATCTATGCCACATTTTATGCTTTTCAATAGCCTGTGACAATTTCTTTTTAATTTGAATAACCGGATCTTCATTCAATTAATTTCTAAAGTGAGTTAAATGTCAAAGCCCAATTTTATTTCCCCACTGGTTTAGACTGCTTTATGTTTTGCTGTGACTATATAGGTTGGTTTCTTAGGAAACCATTTTAAGAGGAAAAAGATTAGCCATTTTCTTAAATTAGAAGCTGCCTTTCCAGAATGTGACGTTTATGGGCAAGAATTTTAAAACTATTCCCTTTTCTCTTCAATACCCCCAGGTTAGAGTTACAATAAATACCGCCTCCCAACCATGAAATCGCCTGTACCGAATTCAAAACTGAGTAGAAATTTTATAATTAAGTTATAATACAGTTAAAACATAAATTTCCTCTAAAACATGGCAAAAAAAAAACAACCATACATAAAAGCATAAAGGTTAAAATGGTAAATCAATATAGGGAAGATAGTAGGAAAAACAGCTGCAGGGGTAATGTAAGGATGCCACTACAAGAAATGAATAATTAATTGGTTGACAAAGTATCTATGAATCAATTATCGATTCTCAAAAAGAAAAGTTAAGCCCGGCCAGCATGGCTCAGTGGTTGAGCATTGATCTATGAACCAGGAGATCACAGTCATGGCACATGCTGAGGTTGTGAGCTTGATCCCCAGTGTGAGGCATGCTGGAGGCAGCCGATCAGTGATTCTCTCTCATCATCATCATTCTCTCTCTCTCTCTCTCTCTCTCTCTCTCTCTCTCTCTCTCCCCCCCCCCCCACCTTCCTCTCTGAAATCAATAAAATATATTTTTTAAAGTTAAGAGAATGCTGAGATAAACCTCTGGCTCTTCAAGTCCTCAGTATAAATACTATAATTTCTTTAACCTATTCTCCTTTGGCTTTGGTCAATTGCACGAAGTTACAAACATTTTACAAAACTCCTCCAAGTTTTTTAATTGTCCAAAATATCCCAAGTGCCTTTATTTTTAAAAAGAATTTACCTTCCTCTATGGAAATAAAAAAATGAAAATAAGAAAATCTACATATTACTATGAAAGTTTAAAAATTATTAGGGCATTATGAATATATCTAAATGCATGTATTAAACACTGGGTCTTTCATGTGCATAGAGTTGTATAATTTGATGTGATGTTAAGATTGATACTTAGCAGTAGATTAATTTGAAATGTGACAACCCTTGCAACATTACCACTTTATAACTTTCTCATTTGGAGTAAGTATCTTTGACTGAACATGTTTTTATAAAAGCCCAAGTGTAGCGAAAACATTTACAATAGACTGTGTCATACACGCCTTCAGGTTTCAAGCAGAACAGAGCTCCACGCTCGAACTCTAGACAATGTTTTCCATGCATTTCATCTAGAACCTTCCAGTGTTTGCATAACACTGGCTAATGCACTGGCTAGCGAAAGAGCATGGCACTGCCCAGAACAGGCGCAGCAGTAAATACTCAGTGACTTGGATGGCATTGCACCCGGTCTCTTATTATTCTGATGGGAGGCTCTCTGCCCACTTCATCACATTCCAGCAAAAGCAGATGTAAATCAGGCAGCAAGTTTGCCACACTTCACCCGCCTGCTGCAAGCCAGGCTGGAAAGTGCTCCTATAATGAACTTGGCCTCCAGGACTTCTGTGTACATAGCCTACATCACCATCTCTGGCAAGGGAGGAAAACATCAAGAAAAGACAGTATTTTCCTCAGTGTTCATTTAGCGACCGCCAGTCACTGTTGCCCAAAGCCTAAAGCATATTGACACTGGCACAAAGGTTCATCTGTCTCTCTTCATGACCAAGCTCTCTAGCCAGCCAGCACTGGGGATTCCAGTTTGTTTGCCATTTCAATGTTTGCTGGCATGTAGACTTGGGGAAACATCTAGTAATTCAATCTGATAAAAAACAACAACAACAACAAAAAAGAAACACATGCAACTAAAGAAACCTCCACACAACAGTAAAAGTGTTTTTATAGATATAAATATATAGACATGTTTGTGTGCATACACACATTTACATATATACAGATGTGTGTGTGTGTGAGAGAGAGAGAGAGAGAGAGAGACAGGGGTGCAGAAGAGTTCTCAGAAAAGTATGGAAGAATGAAAAAATACAGACACTGGATGCTCCAAGATTTCAAAATGCCTCATATAATCTTGGACTAACTCCTGATTTTTACAGGACATTTGGGAACCTTTCCCAGTCTTCCACAGTCTACCTGATACTCCTGCCCAACAATTTCCAATCCAAACATAACACTACTAATGGCATGAACATTTCAGGCCCCGGGTCTTAAGAACATAAACGAAAGAAAAGATCAAGCCCCGAGTTAGAATCCGCAGCCACAGACGGCCTTTGTTAAGTTTCTAAATAACAACACATTAAAAAATCAAAGTTTTAAGTTTAAGTCCGTTACTTTAATTTAGAACATTATTCCTTTTTTGCAAATAAATGAAATAGTTATAAATTCTTTCTTGATAAGTACTAATAAAGTCTTAATATTCATTTTCATCCATTCCTTGAATTTCTAATCCACTTTTCAAATAACAGATATAAAAGAGGAAAAGTATAAAGGAGAATTATAATCAATTATCCAAAATATCTTAAACATTTTTTAAATATTCTCTAAACTTTCTGAAAAGTAATCCATTCATGAATTAAGAACTTATGATTTGAAAACAAGGCTTCAAATTCACTGCTCCACCTGTTAGCTGTATAGCTTTGGGAAAGTGACTTTACCAGTTCTCTCATCTGTAAAATGGGTTAAAAACAATACCTACTGCATAGAGTTCTTGAGTGTATTAAATTAGGTAAACATCTCCATACAGTACCTGGCACATGGTAAGCTTTCAGGGAAAGTGACTAAGTATGGAGATGTTAGAACAGATAAACACACAAACATTAACCAATCAGCATTACCATCATCATCAAAGGCTCACTAGGTGCTCAGCCTTCTGTAACTAACTACTTGGGTACTTTATATCACTACTTTACTAAAATTTTCTTACTAGAACTGAAAGTGAATGTTTTAAAAGGCTGTCTCTGTTTGTTATACTAATAAACGGGAAAATACAAGCGAACAGGTCCAACATACCATCTTTTCCTTGGTATTTGTTTTCATTTGTTCTGGCTGACTGTGATTCAGTGCCATCTGGAGCCTAAAGATAGAAAATGGGCCATTTAGTCATCTCCAACTCACAACCAGAAAACTGGTATTGTAAATAATTCCATTACTAACCTTTAGAAATAAGAAATGTATTCAGAATTATAGCAATCACAGGGGAAAATGTACTATGGTTATAATCAATAAATATTCGATTACCCACAACTTGTAAGATACAATACTAAGCACCATGGGGAACATGAGGAATGTCAAGAATGTCCTTGTTATCAAGGAGGCCATTGTTTAGTTGAGGGGAAAAGACAAACAAATCAAAAAGCCAGTGATATCCATCAGTTGATGAATACACAAACGAAATGGTCTATCCACACGGTGGGATATTATTCGATGGAGGACCAATGCACGCTACAGCATAGATGAACCTTGAAAACATTGTGAAAGTTACCAGCCATAAAGGCCATATATTATATGATTCCATTTCTATGAAATATCCAGAAAAAGTAAACCAGAGAGACAGAAAACAGATAAGTGGTTGCCTAGGGGCAAAGAGGGAAATATAAGGAAAGACTGCTAAAGGTTACAGGCTTTCTTTGGGGAATGATGGAAATGTACTAAAATTGATGGTGTGATGGCTGCAAATATGTGAATATACTAAAAAGCACTGAATTGTAGACTTTACTAGTTATTGGATGGATGGGATGGCATGTGCACTATATCTCAATAAGGCTATTATTATGAAACAAAATTACAGGGTGACAGGTGGGTAATAAAATAGAAATCTTCTAATTTATAAAGAGCTAGCGATAAATGTGAGATAAATTAAAACTAAATTACCAAACAGGTATTAAGAGAACAGATATTCACAGGAACCCCTTTTTTTAAGAGGTTGGGGCAGTGATATCTGAGGAATGCAGCTCTCCAAGGGCTTACGAACACAGTCAAACCTGCTGACCCTCCTCACCAGTGAGTGTGGCCAGGGCGGCTCCAGAAGGAGCTCAGAATTAGGAAGAGGGGTCCTGATTCTAGGAAAGATGTCTAAAAATAATCATTCGATCGGATTTTCACCTCTACACAAAAGAAGGTAGCCTTTGGGGTCACCCTCACCATACATCTCTCCTCAAGCTGTGAGCCAAGGAGCCTCCCTCCCTACAGGCTAAAGAAGAGTCTAGAAACGCACTGGGTCAGGTGCATTGAAACCGTTCCTGCAGGACTTAGAGGCGAGGGCACCCGGGAGCGTGTATGGCGATTCCCAAATCCCAGACGTGGGACGGGTCATGGCCCACTCCAGTTCCCCTCAGGATTGGGCAATACCACCCCCCTCCCTCCGCCCACAAGCCCCCCACAACACAGTGAACACAGTGAGTGATCCTAATCGTACATACGAACACACATTTTAGAGCATGTGGTCGGAATTGTTTTCCTCAGCAATTGAAGATGACAGTGCAGATGGTACTCATTTCTGTATTATGTTTCCTGGTGTCAGCAAGGGCTTCATGAGGAAGCATTTAAAATGGAAGAGCTGAACATGGACTTATTTGAGAACAGAGGGACCGAGGTGAAGATGGCTGGCTCACGTTTGCTTGAGGGGAGGAGGATATGGTTCTAATGGGCGGCAGTTTCAATTAAAGACATGCCGTGTAAGCAAGTTAATGTTATTTTAAATTACATGACTCCCTCAGATGATACAATCTACCAATTACCTTGAACTCAAACCATGTCATTTAGGCATTACCAGGGATTTGCTGAAAAATCCTGCTTCTGCCCTAGCCAGTTTGGCTCAGTGGATAGAGCGTCGGCCTGCAAACTAAAAGGTCCCAGGTTCAATTCCGGTCAAGGGCACATGCTCAGGTTGTGGGCTTGATCCCCAGTGGGGGACTTGCAGGAGGCAGCCGATCCATGATTCTCTCTCATTGAGGATGTTTCTATCTCTCTCCCTCTTCCTTCCTCTCTGAAAACAATAAAAATATATTTTAAAAAAAAAACCCTGCTTCTAGCACCGAGTAGCAACAGCCTCTTGGAAACTGGCATGAATCCCACAGTATGTATTTTGCTCAGGCTCAGCTCTCTGTCCCCTCCCCCCTTTGACTTCCTCTTACTTTTGTTGGTGATACTATAGTTCCTTACCATTTATTTTTCTAAGAGCTGGAAACCTAGTTATGTTGTTCAATTCCAGTGGATGCCCCAAATAACCAGTGGGGGATAAGCAAGTGCTTGACTGCCTCAGCCCCAAGACTCCTGCCTGGAACAATCCAGTGACCCCAAAACTGTAAAATGGACTGGATTTGCCTGGCTGGCGTGGCTCAGTGGTTGAGCGTCGACCTATGAGCCAGGAGATCAAGGTTTGATTCCCAGAGAGGACACATGCCTGGTTGTGGGCTCCATCCCCAGTGTGGGGAGTGCAGGAGGAGGCAGCTGGTCAATGGTTCTGTCTCATCATTGATGTTTCTATCTCTCCTTCTCCCTACTTCTCTGATATCAATAACAGTATTTTTTTTATTTTTATTTTTTAAAAAAGGACTGGATTTGATTCACAATTGACCATGTAAATGGAGAAGAAATTTGCAGCTGTCAAAGATTTCTTAGAAGAATGAAATGTCTACCCAAAGCAAAAAACCTCTACATGAAAGAAAACTACCTTAAATATAAGCCTTTTCATCCCCTCATGTCTATCAAGAATCAGAAATTTTGGTAATTTTTATTTATAGTGTAAATAGTCTCAGGTTCTGATTACTTACTATCAGAAGCATGTATGGAAATCCAAATATAGCAGGAGGCATAGTGGTTAAAAACACATACTAGAGTCAAACAAATTTGGGTTTACTATCTACTGGACATTGAGCAAGTTACTTAAAGTTTATGAGCCTCAGCTGTAGAAGGAAAACGGTAAATTTATCCAAAAGACAGCTGTAAAGATAAATTAGTTAAGGCAAGGAAAGTAGTCAGCACAGTGAGTGTTCGGTAGTGGCAGCAATTATTATTGCTATTATTATCACTGCAATCATTGTTCATGATGCCTTTTGTTCGCGCTCATTCCAACTGCCCCACTGGGTTCTCTAGGCCGGAGCGATTCAGTGTCATTGAGAATAGGCATCATTTAGTTCAGTGACGTTTTTTGGGGGGCGGGGGGAAGAAGGGAGAAGCGGGTACTAAGACTTTCCTGATGAAAGAACAGATATTATTTTCTACATAGTCCACCAACTGGCTGTTTTGCATAGCACTGCTCTAAGCAATGTAGGTCTCCTACTTTACCATGTCTTCCCTGACATCGTTTCATTCACGAGTCCCACAGCTTCTACCAGACTCCAACAGCTTCCACCAATAAATTCATCACCTTGACAAATTTTTAATCAAATCTTCCATGTGCTGGGCACCGTGCTAAGGGCTGGCTACAAAAGGGAAGTTATTTCATGTTTCGGGGTCCCCGCTTTCTAATTCCACTGCAGTTAGCTCCCTCACGCCTCACTTCCAATCATCAGCAAATGAGTCTAGGAAAGAGCAAACATTCCTACAAGAGTTAACAGATGAGGGAGAATCCCCTGCCTACCTCCTACTTTTCTGTCAGTAACAATTAGTAGTCACGTTGCCTGGTGTGGGCGGGGGTGTAGGGCCACTCCTAATGCTCCAAGGACACCTCACACAAGGATGATCAGACCGAATTGTAACTTGTTTAATTTTCTGCCCCATCAGCATTCACTCCTAGAACAAGGACAGGGATCAAGTCCCCCTTGATCCCTGCCAACACAGAGCTCCCGTGCCTGGCATGTAATGTGCTCATTCTGTTTTCCATGATTTAAATTAAACTGGATCGGTCTAGTTGATTCTAAGCAGTTATTCCTTTGCTTTAACATCAAAACAAAACAACAACAAAAAACCAACACCACCTACTTTTTCCTTGGACTCTGCCTGTTGAGCAAATATGTCTCTGACGTCAGGAATGTGGTACTGTTTGTTCTTTTTCCTTAAGGTCTGGGAGACCGTCTCTACCCGTTTCTGAACAGCTGCTGCCTGGGTCCGGGTTAATGTTGATAGAAACACCATGCTTTCTTGGGGATCTCCAGCAGACTCTCCAAAAAGATTAGACAAACCAGCCTCCTTCAGCCACTCTTCTTCCAGCTCGCCCTCTGAGACAGTAGAGAAAAATGATATTTATGATCCCAAAATATGAGAACTTGTATATTCTTTTAAGCTTTAAAAAAACCCAAAAACTCTTACTGAAACTATTCTATTGCAACTGAACCACAGTGCTAACAATCATTATCTGAAACTTGGACAACTGCCATAGACTCCAGCTACAAAGATATCAAGTTTTAGATCCATTTCATACATACTCAATTAAAAAATTTAAATGGCTTCACATGTAATTAACCTCCATAACTTCTCTGCAGATTAACTATGGGAAGATAATACTGTTCCTTTCCAGAGAGGAGCAAGCAATGAAAATATAACATTTCCATCAAGATATAGAAGGAAGTCAATACTGGGGATATCCATTAAAGCACCACCCCCGAGGTCAATGCTAATTGATGGGAAGGTTTGTTTTCTCTGTTCACTGTTGCTGACAGGGAGTGTGACGAAGAAGTAAAGAGCATCTGGACATCAGGACCAATCCATTTCAAATTAAATTTTTAATTCCCCTAGTCAGCACATCAGACTCGTGTTTTCTACAAATTAAAAAAAAAAAAAGCACACTATTTTAAGAAGAAAACAAACAAACAAACAAAAATACCTTATAGGCAACAAATTACATAACTAGATCAACTTAAACCACTAAAAGCAGGATGTAAACAGTAACGCAAATATTGTCTGAGAGCTAATAAAAATGACAGAAAAACAGAATAGATTCACACCGAACAAGACGTGTATAGAGGAAAGTGAAAGACTGACTACTTGGGACACAAAAATCCTGCATCCATACCTATGTCTGCACCTCAGTAGCCACATCACTTTGGACCAGTCACTTAGCCTCACGCTGACTTCGTTTTCTCATCTGTAACCTACAGCACAGCTGTCCTGGCTGCCTCCTAAGCAAACGTGAGAATGTTATATGGGACGAGCTTTGCAGGGCTCCATTATAGCTTGTATCACATGATGTAGCACTGACTAGTTTCGCCTGTCTATCCTTCTACGCTATGTAAACTCCTTGAGGGTAGAAATCAAGTATTAATAACCTTGGCTTCAAGAAACATAATGTAATGCCAGACATTTTGCATGCCCAGCAACAAAAACTCTTTACTACTGACATAAAGTCAGCCGTTACTATTAATGCTGTTAAGGTAGAACTCGGGAAGGTGTATAAAACCAAATTGCCAGGGGAAAAGCTGATCCTGCCATGATAAACAATATTACGATACTGAATCATTTGTTCCACTAAAAAGTAGAGGTAAAACTCAATTTAAAGTCAAAGAAAAGGCACGGGCATTAAAAGCATTCCTAGTTTTTCTTGTTAATCACATAATGAACAACAATCTATGAAATCATTTTCATCTTGGAAAAAGATGTGGAATCTAAGGAACAAAATAAACTGATGAACAAAATAGATCCAGAGACATGGAAGTATGGAACAGACTGATGAATTTCAGAGGGAGGCAGGGAGGGAGTGAACGGGAAGAGATGCATCAAAAATAATGTATATGCATATATGCATAACCCATAGACACAAACAATACTGCAGTGAAGGCCTGTCGGGGGTATAGGGGGACGGGGGCTGGAGGCCCGGTGGAGGAGGTCAATGGGAGGAAGAAAGGGGACATTTGTAATACTTTTAATAATAAAGATAAAGTTTAAAAAAGAATTCTCTCACTGTAAAAAAAAAAAAAAATTGTTAAATAGCTAATGACCCATGGGAATGTATCAGGCCTGAATGCTGTTTCCTGTAGAATGTTTTCTCCTTATTCAGCAGGTCAGAAAGGTTGAGATACTGTTATCACAAATAAGTCTGACTTTGCTGGTAAAGTGAGAAAAAAAAAAATGAAAGAAAACCCAAACAAAGGAATGAATGGATTATAATTTTCTTTTACAAATCTAAGAAATGTAAAGAAAAGTCTCCAATTTTTCTTTTAAAAATATTATTGGTAAATTTTTCAAGCAATATTATAACAAAGGCGAAAGACCTGTTAAGGTAGATTTCTCTGCTTAAACAAATCAGTACTTAGTCATTTAGTTAAGAAGTCTTCCATTGAAAAGAAGATCACTATTAGTAGGTCATGAGGCACTGACTGTGGCTCTTACCCTTTTGGCATTTATATCAACTTATATACCAAAGGCATAGGTACTTACAAACTTATGGATGGCCCAAGGCATAGAAAAAAAACTTCTTTATAATAGATGTCAAAATTGGACATTGAAACTTAATGACTGCTTGAATTTAAAAGATTGAAAGACGTAGTATGGTGTGTCGGTGTCCCTTGCACCAAAAGGTCGCAGGTTCGATTCCCAGTTAGGGCACATGCCCAGGTTGCCAGTTCAGTCCCCTATGGGGGTGCATACAGAGGCAACCAATTGATGTTTCTCACATGGATTTTTCTTTCTCTCCCTCTCTCTTCTTCTCACTATAAAGTGAATAAAAACCTATTTCTAAAAATAGTGAGAAACTTAAGGAGGGGGAGTAAAGTTTTACATGTTTCTTTCAGAATATCAAGTGTAGTAATGGAAACTGTGGGAAATATGGCTGGAAAGAGACTTGAGAGAAATTATGGATCAAATATGAAAAAGAAACAAATACAGAGGCTAAAAATCAAACAAACAAACAACGCTAATTCCATCTTCCCCTGTCCAAATCTATGCTCTTAGTTTAGCTGGTTAAACCTATGGCATTGCATCCAATCTGGGGCACTATACTTTGAAAGGTAAGATGATCAGGACTAAGATAGACCCACAAGGAATAATTCATGTGAATCTCTTTTCCTTCTAGAAAGGACGTGGTGAGCAACAAAATAGCTATCGTCCAACATTGGAAAGGCTATCATGTAAAAATAGAATAGACTTGTTCTACTCTCCCAGAAAAGCAAAACTACAGCATGTGAGGCCAAGGGAGTATAGCAGATTGTAATCAATGAAATAGAGAACATCAAAACAACTCAAGCTGACTGACGGGAGGAAAGCAATACCACTGCAAAGCAGTGAGCTTTCCGTGAGCATCTACCCTCACTACAAGCCATGTGACCATTTGGCTAGGATACCACAGAAGGAATTCAAAGGGAGGTTAGATGATTCCAGAGATCAAGTCTAACGTTAAAATTCTATGACACAGTGAGCTCAGCCAACAAGATTGTGGCCTTATAAGCCGAAAGGAATTTACTGATGCCACTTGCATTTGGCAGCTGCATCCACAAATCTGTCACAGATGGTAATTCTCAAGTGGAAAGGCAACCTGCATTATGTTTCTTGGGTTGCCCTCTCTTTAATTTTTTATTGTTGTCCTCCCCTTCCTTCCCATGTATTCTCCCATAAATGCATATACAAACCAAAAAAGTTTTATTTAGTTTGTTATTACCATCAGGCTCTTTGACAACCACCACCTCTTGATCTTGTCTGTTCTCACTAGATTTCTTGATATTGTCTATTTCATTCCAATAGTCCTCCATAGATAGTTCATCCAAAGAATCTTGGGAATTCGATCGATCAAATGGAGGCTTCTCCTTCGTTTGTGTGGTTTCTTGGTTCATGGTGTACTGGCCATATCTGCGACTATAAATTCAAAAGAAAACATGGTTCATGTTAGTGCATGAGGAAGTAGTACAGTTTCTAAAATACCATAGCACTGAGCTGAAAATTTGGAAACTCCTTAAATTCTCCTTAATAAAACCGGAGATATATATTTTGAAACTATTTATCGTGAGATGCTACTAATTATAATATGCTTGTAGAAGGAACTGTTTCATTCTTTACCTCCCAAAAAAGTATGGTGAAGAACAAATAGCAATGTGAGAAATCATTTTTTTCATTTCCATTTCACTTAAATTATTTTGACTTCTTTATACCTGAAACTTTGTTCTTAGAAAACAACAGGTTAAATATTTACTAGAGGCTATTAGTTAATTAAATTGGAATTGAATTTGTACACAGTATTTCATGTTTATCATTTATATCTGTCAACCAAACTTGGCCCACCTTTATGCAGCAAATATCTGAAATCAATTAATTAGGTACTATTTGAATTTACATTTTACTTTGGAACCAAAACATAAATAGAAGAATGACATATTAAGTTCATTTTTCTATAGAAAGCAACCTTTTTTTAAAAAAAAAAAACACCATGGTTTTATTGATTTCAGAGACAGAGAGATAGAAACATCAATTATGAGAGAGAATCATTGATTCCCTGCCTCCTGCACACTCAATCCTATTGGGGATTGAGCCAGAAACCCGGGCATGTGCCCTGACCAGGAATTGAACCATGACCTCCTGGTTCCTAGGTCAATGCTCAATCACTGAACCACATTGGCTAGGCTAGAAAGCAACTTTTTTTGTACCCGTTACTGATATGTATTTTTTAAAGTGGTGAAACTTCATTTTTTGGAAAAATTAACTTATGGGCAATTCTGAATGAATATCTAGGATTACCACTTAAACATTTATTTCAAATATCACCTATGGAGAAAAGGATAAATTGAATAAGTAAAGGTATTTTTATGACTTTAAGTTAACTATATTTTTCTTTATAATTCACATGTCACCTTCTACTAAAATTTAATTAAAGGACCTTATAATAAAAACCCACATATAACAGAAATTTTAAATTCTTGTTTCATACTACTTATATTGAGATAAAGGGACAAAGCCTAATTACTTAAAAGAGGAAAATTATCATTTATGGTGCCTGTCCTTTATATTCAATAATTTTTAAAAAGTACAATTTGAGTGGGGACAATAATTGGTAAACTGGTGTTTTGTTATTCTAATTTCATATTGCTCTTTTATCTTCCAAGAAGATGTTAGGAAGCAATACTTTGCTAGACTGGATTTACTTACTGCACATACAGAAAATAAAAAGAAATGCAATAAAACGAAATTCTTTAATAGCGTGTGAACATTTTTACATTTAAACTGGCCTTTCCTATAATTATTTTAAATAGTCAGATTTAATACTACATAAGGGAGAGAGGGGTCACTAAACTCTAATCAAAGCTACACACCCATTAAATTTGAACGGTTTCTTAGAAAAAGTCAAAGAATTTAATTGCCTATTGATGCAAATAAATGCACTATAACTGACTACTTACATGTAATACGCTAATAGTCTAGTTTTATTCCTTGAGAGATGGTTCTCTCTGCCGTGATTATGCACTGGTTGCATTAATGAGTGAACAATCACTATAATCTCAGCTCAGAAACCATGGAGGGCGGTGATGGATGAGTGTTAGGACGAGGGCCAACGGGAGGAAGTCTGGGCATGTTTTCTGTGAATCTCTTTCCTCCAGTCTCTATTGTCCATTGTTTGCCTCCCCCATCCCTTAATTCAAGGACCACTTCCTCCCTCCCTGCCCCAACCGTCCTGTTTACATCCCTGTATCCCAGCCTCTTCCCCTTCTCTCACCCAAGTGGCCTCGATAAAGTCATTGTTCTCATTTGAGAGGTCACACTGCTTCTCGAATGAAAATGTGAATAAGAAAGCTCTCTCATTCTCTTTAAAACAAATAATTTCTGTGATCATCAGCTGAACTCTTTTATGGGTCACTCATATTCCTTAATTCTGCTCCATTGAGGTAGCTAAAGGTAATTTACAGAATGTCTGCCACATTCATTTTGGGTTTATTTCATGTTCCAATAGGGACCTTACCATCCTTGTTTTTGTTTTATCTTTCACTATAACATAAGATTGTCTACCTTGCCTTAGCTGGCTTGGCTCAGTGGATAGAGCGTCAGCCTGCGGACTGAAAGGTCCCAGGTTGATTCTGGCCAAGGGAACATGCCTGGGTTGCAGGCTCAATCTCTAGTGGGGTGCGTGCAGGAGGCAGCCGATCAATCATTCTCTCACATCATTGATGTTTCTATCTCTTTCTCCTTCTCCCTTCCTCTCTGAAACCAATAAAGAAATATATATATATATAAAAAAAAAAAGATCGTCTACCTTATTCCTATCTTCTACAACCCTTAGCACATGGGAGACTACAAGTACTGTGGAATGTGTGAAGTATAATGACTAATGCCAAATAATTTGGTTTATCTGCTCACAGGAAGGAGGTGCAGTTGAACTTAAACTACATTAAGTCTCATTCCTGAAAGAATGTGTTTATTCTGGCAAGAACTTTCCAGTAAATTTCCATTAAGATAGCATGTGCAGAAAAATGCAAGAGCATTGAGCAACAGCATTGTTACATAAATACACCTTCTATATCAAGCCCTGCTTTCACAACAGACACAACGCAAAAATCTAATCGCTTAGTGCTGATGAATCCACTCAATATTTGGACTTTAATAAGATTCAAAAGCTGAATAGGTTTTCTGTGAAAACCTGAAGAAGATACTGAGTCATGGAAAGATTGATTTTTTTTTTAATCATTGGTAAATGTTACAAGAAAACCTTTTTTTTTTTTTTTTAAATAATAGAGGATGCAGAGTAGGGAGGAGATAAGACAACCCTTCATAGTCATGTCAGCATGCCATGCATTTTATATTTTCTCTAAAAATGTAACTGAACATTCTTTAATTACTATTTTCATCAATAAACATGTCATGTCACTTCTTTTCTTTTCAGAATATACTCTACTTTTGAACTCCAGGCGGGCAATGACTAAAAGTCTGGCCCTTCTTAAAACTGTCCTGGTAAAAGGGCCAGTTAACTAGTTTTCTCTCCTCTGTGTTTAGAAGTGTGTAATATGATACCACGTTCATTCTGCAAATTGGGTTCAAGAACATAAAAAAAAAAATCTGCTACATATAATGAAGTACAGAGCAAAAATACTTTATATTTCCAAAAGATCCAAGCCAACACATGGTGCTGAAATCGAAGAAACACAGCCTGTACCTCAGGCAACTACCAATCACCCCCACCTGACTTACTGGCCAAAGATTGTTCTACATTCTATCTCCCTCACTCCCCCGCCAGAATCCTATGTGCTAATCCCATGGCCACTCTTCAAACACTCTCATTTCTTATCTTTGACAACTACCGACAAAACTAGACACCGTCCTTAAAAAAAGTTGATTCCTAGGTAACTGCAAGAGTCATGATCTTGTGCAACTAGCATTCAACACATCACAGTATTATCACTTTGTCCCTTCTCCAAGGGCACTGTCACCAGCAAATGCTAACTTTATAGACCCTAATTCAGGAAATGCTCTTTCTTTTTCATCTTGATAGCAGGATCCCATTCTGTGTTTATTAAAAAATAAGGCTTTAGCCCTACACAGTGTTGCCTGCTGGTTAGAACATTAGCCCAGACAGAAGGGTCATGGGTTCCATTAACGGCCAAGGGCACATAGCTGGGTTGTAGATTCCATTCCTGACAACCAATCGATGGTGTGTGTCTACCAATCGATGTGTGTCTCTCACCCCTTCCACTCTCTCTAAAAATTCAATGGTAAAAAATATCCATTGTGGCGCTTTTTGCCCCTATATTTTTCCCCAGGTATATTTTCTCCTATTTTTCCTGTGATATTTTTCACCCGATCAGTGAATTTCGAATGAACCGATATTATTCAAAGTATTAGTAATGCCTGTTATTTATTCTGTCGCAGAGAATAGTAAACTGGTCTGACACAAAATGCTCTTCACAAGGAGGCGGAGGTTGCCAGGCAATACACTGTGCTCTAGTGGATGAAAACAAGCCAGTCGATAAGTCATCCCAGTACCAACACAGTCAGCAAAAGGACATGGAAACATGGGGCTGGGAGTCCTAAGTACCGAATGGCTCCAGCTCTACTTACCCATCTCTATATGATTTGGGAAAATCACTTAACTTCTCTCATCCTAACTTTCCCCATCGATAAAATGGGAAGAGTACCAATAATCTGGACTGCTTTGCTTGTTGAGTTATCAAGTGAGAATTCCTCCTGAAGTGTCTCGTAAGTAACCATGAAGAGGGCACTTAAGTGAGCATCAGTGCTAACATCTGATTTAAACTGCTAACTCCATATAACTGCCCTCCCACTGTTTAATAAGGTCACCTGTGCCCTCTTCAAAGGTTCAGATTTATTTCTATCCTCCAGGACAGCCATTCTTAAACCTTACAAGGACTCCACACTAAAAAAATGTAAAGTAACCCCAAAGAGCTTTGGCCTATATAAGTTACATCTATTGATAGGTATACTATTAGATATTAAAATGGAAAAATTAAATACTAATTTATTTAATAACAAACATCTCAACTTTTTTTTAAAATCTATATTATTCCATACAAATATATATATATAGTGAGATGAGTAGCATTGTTTCACATTTTTGAAACTGTCTTTAATGTCTGGTTTAATAGAAGACATCTGGATTCTCACATCTGCTTCTGCATTCAATCTTTTGCCATATTGCATGTCATGTAGCCTCTGCCAAACTCCACTGTATTCTTATGAGAGAACGAGAGTGAGAAGGGCCAATAATGCCTTGGTGTTGCTATGAAAATCGTTTTGATCTCCTAGACCCCTGAAAGGGTCTTGAGACCCCAAGGTGTTCCTGGACCACACTTTGAAAACTGCTGCTCTAGGAGTTCTCAAAAAACAACACCTAATGCACTTCTAAAAAGCACTTTTTA